GCATGTGTGTGCCAAATTGCATGCGTGAAATAAAAATCGTTTTGAAGAAATTAGCAATTAAAACACAAATTAAGTCAACATTTTGGTATTGATTAAACACGGATTATCTCGTGTCATTAATCATTTTGTTGCTTACACTATTAGGTCATTAACAAGGACAGAGGTCACTCAAAACATTACTCTTTTTTGCTTGTTGTGTGGTTGATTTATTTGTTGTGAATAGCCAGCTAACTTTGTCACTTTGTTCGGCGAAATCTGTTTTGTGTTTGTTTTTTAAAACTTTAAACTTTTTATTGAATAAATATTTTTTTATAATTGTAGTATAAGAATCAAATCGGTCGGTTTTGTTTCACACCCGGAATATGGCACATCAAAAGTCTTGTATGATGTTTTCGACATAAATCCCTCCGAGGCTCTGTGGGAACGAAAATATACCACCGTTCGTGCAACAAAATAAAAACAGGTACAACAGACAGCAACCAACGACAACCGTTGAATTGCAGGCTCCTTATTTTGGACAGACACATACAGAATTTAGAGGGTTAAACATGTTTGTGATCCTTCAACCCTCCCCTGACCTGGACAATGGTATAACAACACAGCATAAGAAAAATCTGCTGAAAACAGTTTGAAATGGCTTGACTTATCAAATCGGCTTGAACCACAAAAACAACTAACATGAAGACAAAAAAACACTAAGTACCGATATAATAGTACTCGCCGTTAGGGTAGAACATTTTATATTCCAAAGAAAGGAATGGGGCTGGCGGCGCGAAAATTTATTTTCACTTTTGTACACATTCATATCCTCAACTATCCTGCATTTCATGTTGAAGAGTGTTCATTCTCATCCTTTCTTGTGCAAAGTCAATTATTTCAGTTCATATCAGGCCAAGTAATTCATTTTCAAAATCCTCATTCCCTCCCTGTTTTCGAAATCAAATGGGTATTCCCTTACTGAAAACTAATGAAAGGACGTCATCAATAGTCTGAGAACCCGACCGTGCGAGGGCTGTATAGCCAGTCAAGGTCGTTAAAAACTTCCGTCATCATAGTCTGAGAAATGTATGATCATAAACATCATTACCGTAAAAACTAGCTTTTGTTATAAATCAGGCCGTTAGTTTTTTTTCAAATGAATTCTTTCATTTTTTTCATAACTGGCCATTTTATAGCCGACCATACGGTATGAGTTTTTCACATTGTCGAAGGCCGTACGGTTGCCTATAATTGCTTGCGTCCACATCTCCTAATTTTTATATTATACAACAAGTTTTAAATAAAATTAACACTATCTATGTTCCATGTAAATGAGGTAAGGTCAGATGAACTCTGCTACAAAATCATGTATACCTTGTTACCATTCCATACACCAAATATATTTAACCAACTACTATCTGAGACTGTACGGACTTGACCGTGAAATTAGGTCGAGGTCAGGTGAATCATGTCTGACGGTCATGACTTGACCACTGAAACTTAACCTTGTTCTGATCCGTGAAATTATTTCGATGTCAGGTGAATCATGTCTGATGGTCATGTAGACCTTGCAAGGATACCATATATTAGTAACCAAATATAGTTATCCTAGAACTCATGATAATTGAGTCTTCACACGACGAAAAAAGCTATACAGTTTTTTAGCAGTCACTTAACCATGAATATGAGGTCAAGGATATGACGGAAACTTCGTAACACAATGGATCTATATACAAAGTATGAATCATCCAGTTCCTCTGCCCTCTGAAATATAAAGCTATACAAACAGTTCACGGTGTTGCCGCCACCATTATCAGATTGTATTCTGTATTCCTCGCATTCTGCTACTTGCGTCGAATGCGATTTAAAAGAAAAAGAATATCTGAAATTAGCTCTCTTACCTAAAGCTAGTCGGTGGGCTTTCAACTTAACAGTAGACAATGAAACGTAATAGCTGCTACTAGCTCGGCAATTTTTTCTATGTTGTTTCGCTCTTATTAAAATTCTGATCTTTATTAACTAGCATGCTCTTATATATAAGCTCAAATGAGGATAACGAAATCAGAGATCTATATTTTAATTAGATTGATGTTGTTTACAAGTGTTTGTAAAATACATCGATGCTGTACAAAACTTTCTTTTTGTAGATAATCTTTAACTTCATGTCAATTGTAGGCCAATTTATGTTCGATAAGTCATGTACATTACACTTGATATAAGTGTGTACGATGGAGTGATGAGCCTGCTGTTTCTAATTCTCATTTTGTTTTCATAACTTGTAACAGAAACCCTCCCCCTTTTTCACCGTTTGCAGTTTGTTTTTTTTATTTCTGTAAAGGAAATATATACTCAGACCTGCTAATTCAATCAATTCTGCGTTAATATTCATCAGTTTTGGAACTAAGTACTATTTGATGTGCTTCCACGTTCATCAAAAGAGAATTGGATATTTACCCAGAAAATCATGACGAACACCTTTTATCAAAAGACGGAAAAATAACATTTTGGGAGGGTAACTTATAAATGTTAATATCTAAAAAAACATCTCTAAAGATCACTTATATCGAACCTTATGTAAAAATTCCGATTTTGGAACTTTTAAAAGGTCAAGGTCACTGTTATTTAACAGCTCAATGAAAATTGTAAATGTGCACCTTTAAGTACAAATGTCAATCTCGAACCATATTTGGCAATAAAATTATCAAATTATTCCTAAATATAGAAACTATAGTTATAATCCTTTGAATTATTTGAATTTATTTTGTTATAAACGCAAATATGTAGGGGTGACCAGCTGTCTAAACGTGACTCTACGTTTTCCTTGAAATTTTAGATTTGACCTTTGACCCAAATTTAAGAAAATCGTGACCACTGTAGACAACGACGACATCAATTTTTCGACGAGGCTTGTTCACCTCTTTCCAATGATATAAAATATAGCCGCGTGTTATTCCGTTAACCCAAATCGATTAAATTTGTTGACTGGGCACCCTACTATAAAGGCAGGGAATGTGTCAAAGAGACAAAAACCCAACCAAAAAGCAGGAAACAGCCGAATACCAATGGGTCTTCAACGCAGCGAGAAAATTGGTTCCTAACTATTTACAAGAAAACTTTCATTTTACTGGTAATCAAAATTATAATTTACGTTCAGCTGATGAAAAACTATTAAATCTTCCGAAACCAAAAACAAAAACTTTTTAAAGAAAACATTTACATATTCAGGTTCTCAAATATGGAACAGTTTACCAAATGAAATAAAAATGAGTAATACACTTGTATCTTTTAAAACAAAATGTTACAAATTTTTCATCAATTGTGCAAATTAATATGCTTTTTCATTATTATCTATATACAATTGTATATTGTGTATAATATATCATTATAATACTGTATGTACTTATAAATATGTTATTATTATTTTGAGGACTCTCAGGAAGATTAGTTTTAACTAATGGGATTATTCTCTTGAAATAAAGATTATTTATTTATTTATTTATTTTATTTATTTATTTCCGTATAAAATACACCAGCTATGACTGAACGTGCTATCCGTGACAATGCTTTAATAATACATTGAAAAACAAATGAGAAACTGGATATGGCTCTCAATATCAAGGTTGTAGCATAGAAATGTAGTTAAGAAAATAAATTGAAACCTTCTTTTTATAATTTTGTAGGGTTTTAATGCGTTGATCGTGCGCACATTTTTAATATGACTCGCATGTGCTTCAGTCAACGCTTTTACACCCCGATAAAATTATACAAAGAAGCATTAAATTCTAAAGTAATGATTTCTTCTCTCGTGAACTTAGCCAAATTAGCACTCTTTTATCGATACCTTCTCAGTAAATTCTTTGTCACCTAAACAAGTTTTAGCTATTATTACAAAAAATGAAGGTACTCGGTGTAAAACGTGTAAAATCAGTGCTATAATGATTGGTCTCGGTTGATTGATCAACCTTTCATACATAATTTTCAATATAAAATCCAAAAGTAAGATTACATTGTTTTTGTTCAGAAGACGAATTTTGATGATATAATGCTTTGTATGTAAAAAAAAAACGAGTAAAAAAAATTTAAAATAAAGAATATTATAATTAAAATACAGTTTTGTGTGCATTCATTCTTTCAAGTCATAAGTTCCATTCCCAGCCAGTTGTAACTAAAGATCATAGATATAGTTGAAGCATCTACGCTAAGCACGGCATTTTGGTGCAAGAACAAAGAATATCCAACTTGTAATCACAATGATGGCATATTGAAGAGGTTATTAACCTAAATGCGTTTGATAGATTACATTTACCCTATGGATGGATTTTGCAAATATGTAGCAAACCACATGTTATTAGTACATAAAAAGTAAAGTAACAAAAATACCGAACTCCTAGGAAAATTCAAAACGGAAAGTCCCTAATCAAATGGCAAAATCAAAAGCTCACACACATCAAACGAATAGATAACAAATGTCATATTCCTGACTTGGTACAGGCATTTTCTTATGTAGAAAATGGTGGATTAAACCTTGTTTTATAGCTAGCTAAACCTCTCACTTGTATGACAGTCGCATAAAATATATAATCATAAAAATAAGAAGATGTGGTATGAATGCCAATGAGACAACTCTCCACAAGAGACAAAATGACACAGAAATTAACAACCTGGTGACCCATACCGCATAGTCAGCTAAAGGCCCCGGAATGATAAATGTAAAACAATTCAAATTATGTTTTGTTTCATTCGAAGTCGGTATTTAAGATTAAAAAAAAAGATACACTTGTTTATCAAAGCCCGGAAAATTAATTTATTCTTTCATAAGTAGTCTTTCGTTATATCTGAAGTAGTATTTGATAAAGATTTAAGAAATGCATGTTTTAGAAATATTTGTTGTTATAATCATAATTTGAATACCAGTTAAAATTCACAAAATTAAAACCAGCAAAAATAAACAACAATATTGTTTTGAAGTTTAGCTATGGAAGCATATCATTCGACAAAACTGAAGTATTCATAACATTTACCTTCGTGGTTACATTCGGCGTCATCTCTTTCACATTTACAGGTTCCTTCTACAGGATCGCAACTAAAGTACAAAAACTTGTATATATAAACTAATGTTAACATGTAATAGTGTAATCAAGTTTTTATTATACATAGTAGACTAGTATAACTGTTCTTTTTTTAAAAGAATTATTTGCTAAAAGAGAGGCGAAAGATGCCAAAGTAACATTCAAACTCATAAGTCGAAAGTAAACTGACAATGCCATGGCTAAAAAAGAAAAAAAGACCAACAGACAAACAGACAAACAACAGTACACAAAACACAACATAGAAAACTAAAGACTGAGCAATATGAACCCCACCAAAAACTGTGGATGATCTCAGGTGCTCTGGAAGGGTAATAAGATCCTGCTCCACATAAATATTTAACGCCTTTTCATATTAAATCAGAACTTCTCAATACACACAATGATTTCCGTACCTTAAGCTCCACACACTTCGAGTCTTTTTTTTCAGATGAGGACTACTAATTGGATAGAATGTTAACATTGATTTGTATAAGTAAGTTCTCAAGTAAACTATGTTCTCTTGTTATTGTTATAGGGTTTGATTTTATGCCAGTTATTTGTACACTATATAGTAATATTTTTGTTCTATGTACAGAAAGCGAAAGTAGTTCCTTTACACAGAAAGGACCATTACATATATGGAAGTTTGAGTTTTTTCTAAATAAACAGTCATTTCAATAAATTTTTTAAGCTATTGAATTAAGAAGTTTTTTTATTTAGCATCTGGAAACAATAAAATTTTGATATTTTGTAAACAATCATCGAACGTAACCTATGTCTAGTCCTCGAATGATTACTATGTACACAAATTTTGATTACGATTCATTGATCGTTTTAGTGTTTCACGCCACTTTCATCATACTTGGTTATATTATAGCGACCACTTTTTATTGTTGAAGATCGAAGTCGAACACACCTGCCACGATCCCGGGGCTTGGGGTTGTTAAATAATACAACAAAAACCTTACTCGCCAGTCTTGCATTCGCATGGTTGTTCACAGAATCTACCATAAAAACCTTTTGAACACTTTTTACATTCTGTTTCATAAATGAAACGGTAAGTTCCTTTGGGACATTCTGAAATAAAAACCACAGAATTATAAAGAAAGATCAAAACTACGTTCTTGAAATACTTCCTTCAATAGTTCGTCCCTTTTTGCATTTTATCGGTTTCAAAAATTTTATGAATATAATAATAACAAACAAACACGCACTCACACAAACGAAACATTGTCTTCTTATTGTTACAGTGTTTTATTTTATTTCTTTTTCTATCTTTATCCATCATCTTCATGTATGTAACTACTGATTGTAACTTGCTAAAACGTATAACAAGGAACACAAATGTTTACAATCCGATCAACTAAAATTCACTGCAGTTTTAATAGGTATATATTGCTCCCATCCTTACTTAAATCTATATAATTGTTTTTGCGGAACATTGTTTGTATTTCATTGTCTTTCGATGCTCCATTGGTGTATATATACGGACTTTGATTTTCCTTATAATATTTGGTGACATTCTTTTAAGAACTAAAGTATGAATTAGTTAGCTCTAATCGGCCACTTAGTAGTTACAATGATATCCCTTCGGTTAGATTGTTGTTTGTTTACTAGTCTTAAATGAAAAAATGTTCTTAATAAAGACACATAGAAGAACTCAATATTCTATTATAAGAACATTTTTTGTACATAAAATTTCAAAAGTCTTCAAAACCTATAAAAATGTGTGCTCCCTTACCTTGACATATTCCATTACGTAAGTAATACATAGCACAACAACGCCAATTCACATCATTTGGTACTCTGAAATAGATACAAATGCAAGTCTTTATGTGAAATGTTTAATGACTTGACACTATTTTCATGAAACATCTTCAGACAATGACATATTCAAACGAAATTTTACAATTTTCTTCTATTTTTCGATATTGATACTATCGATGTAGCTTCTAATCAAATATACTTTAAAGCTGTATTCGGAACTTGCTTTAATCAAAAGTCTTACAAAAAGTTGATAAGTCATAAGTCTACATACAGTATTGAAAAAAGGTAACGGTTGGTTGAAATTTGTCCATGATTTTTAAGAGATAAAAAAATGACCCAATATTGAGCCACACTATGAAAAGTTGACATTTACTTTTATTATACTTCATGTCAAAATGCCATACTTTGATTGGCTAATACGAGGGTGTTAATTTACTCTATTACCCTTCATGGAGACGCTTGATCAAGTGTACGCTTTATTAAATACGACTCTATCCTATGGCAAATACTCTATTACCCTTCACGGAGACGCTTGATCAAGTGTGCGCTTTATTAAATACGACTCTATCCTATGGCAAATACTCTATTACCCTTCACGGAGACGCTTGATCAAGTGTGCGCTTTATTAAATACGGATGGTTGTTATGTACAAGACGTCATAGTTTATTACTTTGAATTTGAAATTTAATCGACAGTAATAACAGAACATTCAGTATAATAAATTAAATAACACATATCTGAGAGGGTGATAGAGCAGATTGTTACCCCTCGAAAAGACATTGTCAACCTTGGCTTCGCCTCAGTTGACAATGTTTTCTCGGGGTAACAATCTGCTCTATCACCCTCTCAGCTATGTGTTATTTATATAATATTACAGGACATATTTAGACGAGAAATGAGAAACATCAGTAGCTGGCATAAACATAAATTTTCACATTTTCATCGAACCTTCTTTGTACAAGGACAGCATTGTTGGGAAATGCTTCATTTGTAATGAATCGTTGTTATTCAGGAATTTTAGTTTGGTAAATCTTGTACTGGAAAAATTATAGGCACAAACACTCATTATAAAATATGTGTATAATGCGTACCGTTTTCACAAAGACCCGTCATAATACAAAGATAATGTTCAGGCTATATTTCTGGAAAATTTAAATTTAAAATAATATAACTTCTATTGCCTCTGAAATTGTGTACAATTGTATGAAATTGCTTGTTTTCGCCACTTCTCAGAAACAGTAAAATTTATCGACATAAGACTTTTGCCAAATTTTTTGGGTCTTTGGTAACTTTTTATAGTTTACTCCTCTTAGATATTTAGGTATGTTATGTAGGAAAACGTGTTACCTATATATCTTGTGACTTAAAAAGTTGCCTTTGATGTCAAGGAAAAAGCCCAATTTTACAGCGAATGGGTATTTTGCATTTCAAACGGAAACGATCAGGTGTCAACAAGCAGTAGCCATTTTTGGATTATTTTCTCGCAAAAGTACATACAACCCATTTAATTTGGACTTGGCATAATGTAACCAATAATACGACACTGGAATGATATTGTGTAAACCAAAAAGAAGCAAAGTGTATCCTTGTTTCAAGCAAAAGTAAAAGAAACCATACATTTTTGTAATCAGTGTAATGTAAGTTTTCATAAGACACAGAAGTGTCTTTTAAAACCGGGCGTAGAAAATTATCTCCCATCTCGATTTAAATATATATATAAACCTTATATATATTTTTTAATCGATATAACGTAGGCTATGAACATTTGATAAACAGGAAGAATTGGTTATGTGCTTTATTTTAGAGAAGGGTTAAGTTACTTATTTAGCTTTAAAATTGTTGCAAGATAAGTTTGTTCCCAATGCCTTAAGTTACTGCTTAGATCTCAATTTATCATTTTTCTCCAATATTATAAATAAAAAATCATTTATTTTCATATCTTAATCAAGTTTATTTGTACTGACTTTCGTAGTCGGAATAGACGTTAACATGTAGTTTTCTTATATTATTGTTTCATTTCTTGTTTAGATATATACGATTTTAATGGTTAATTTGATTAATGAAAGTTTAGTCTGTGTTCGATAGCATTCTAGCTTTTGGATTTATATCAATAAAACCTTTGACTCAGACTTTGACTTTTGATTTAAATATAATAAAGGGGATAGAAAACTAAAGTAAGTCCAATATTGAATGTTACTTACTTGCAGTTTCCTTTAGTAATATCAAGTGATGTCTCAAATGAATTATTGGTTACAACAGCAGATGCAAATATGGTCTGTGATAAGAATGATACAATACAGCTCATGAAAACAGCAACAACAACACCCATATTCCAATTAATGCATCTGCAGGCATGCACATATACATACATGCATATCACAAACGATGAATGATATTTCTCATATTCCTCATTGTATTTGAAAATGTCGAACACAATTGATAATTTCCTGTTGATGGGTAGGAGTTTGACGTATAGTTGAAAATATAGTTTTAAAATTTATTTCCGACAATACGGAACACATGATGAGAAGTAATCGAGATGCAATGCACCGGAAAAGGATGTTTTTAAGTAATAATTTTGGAGAGTAACGTATAGCAGGAAAAACTTATAAAACAAAATCTTTTGAGTGTCTGGAGTGTTCCACGGACAATGTCTTTTACGGAATTGAATGTACTATGTGTGGGTCACTTTATGTTGGTGAAACTCGACAAATTTTGTGTAAAAGAATGAATAACAACGGTCTGTTAATAAAGATCCGCAATTCAGGGTTCTTAATACCCATTTTAATCAACCGGACCATGATCCTTCTTTATCTATGAAAGAACGCATCATCGAGAAAATTTATCACAACACCAATAGACCTATACTAAGTACTTCTTCCCGAAAAGATAGAAAACATTTCTGGATAAGGGAACTACGTACTGAAATGCCATATGGTTGCAATGATAACAGCAAAGGAGTAGGAACAAAGGGTCAAAACAATCAGGTCTCTGATAAAACGTCGTATTCATAAGTTGAAAAACTGTGTGAATGATCGACCAAAGTCCGTTTTCAAATACAAAGACGCTGTGAAATGTCTATCATCTCTTCACGATGAATATGTTGTTGTTCCTGTGGACAAAGCTTCAAATAATATCGTCTTTGTATGTTAACCGTACTACTACGAGTGTCTTGTGAAATAATTAGGAATAAATTAGCACTCCGGTAATCCCACATACAATGACATATCATTTGATGAGATTTTGGCAAATCATAAGTCATTCTGGCTTCAATGAACATTACATTGAACAGAAAATCTGAGGACTTACCTTAATAGATATAAGAAGATGTGGTATGAGTGCCAATGAGACAACTCTCCATCCAAGTCAAAATTTATAAAAGTAAACCATTATAGGTCAAAGTACGGTCTTCAACACGGAGCCTTGGCTCACACCGAACAGCAAGCTATTAAGGGCCCCACAAATTACTAGTGTAAAACCATTCAAACGGGAAAACCAACGGTCTAATCTATATAAAAAACGAGAAACGAGAAACACTTATGAACCACATCAACAAACGACAACTACTGAACATCAGATTCCTGACTTAGTACAGGTGCAAACAATTGCAGCGGGTTTAAACGTTTTAATGGTACCAAACCTCCACCCTTATCTGAAACAATAGTGTAACATCACAACATAGAAAGACACACCATAAAATATCAATTGAAATGGCTTAACTCAATCAAAAGACATATTAACACCAGTGAACATACACTGAACAAACAAATTTGATCTATGATACAATGTAAATACAAAATAAATAAACTAAGGGAATAATAATTAAAGTAACATGTTATACCGCTGTGAAATGTTACACAATTTAAGAAAAACAATATGCTTCAACAAGAATATCAGCCACTTGCAATCACTTTAAACACAGGTAAATGAAAATAATTTTGTTGTTAGGTATAAGTGTACAGTTCAAATGGAGAAAGCTTGTTTGTATTGGATACCTAAGCTTCATAAAATTCCGTTAACACAACGATACATTGCCGGTTCATCTGCATGTTCTACAAAGGAATTGTTCGTTAGATTGACAAAATTCTGTCCGCAGTGAAATACTGTGAAAATGTTTACTCGCGAAGTGATTTTAACCATATGTGGATTAATGTAAAACTTTTGGATAATTGCAAATCTCGATCTTTATCTCAAATCAATTCTATCAAAAATTTTGATTTTTCAACCCTGTAAACCACCATTCCCCATGTGAAATTGAAAAATCGTCTAAAAGAAATAATCCACAATGCTTTTCAATATAAAAATGTTAGCATATGCTATAAATTTATTGCTTTGGATACCATACGGCATATTTTCTTAATAGTGAACAAAAAGGCAAAACATGCTACACAGAGGAACAAGTGATCAGTATGTTTCAGTTTCGTATTGACAACATATATACTTGTCGAATTTGGAGGCAGTCTTTTTCAATAAATTATCGGCATTCCTATGGGAAAGAATTACGCGCTTCTTCTTGCCGACCTCTTTTTATTTTCATATGAGTCGAAGTTCCTTCAGACACTTGTAAAAAAAAAATCAAAGAAGCCAGATCGTTTTATTTCAAAATCAGATATATTGATGATGTTCTTTCCATTAACAATCCGAACTTTTTTGATTGGGTTACATTAATATGTCCTCCTGAACAAGAACAACAGACACATCTTCATCCGCCTCATTTTTAGACTTATACCTCGAATTTGACATAAGCGGTCACCTCAGTACCAGAATCTTTGACAAACAAGACGATTTTAATTTAGAGTTAACATAGGGTTATGTCAAATAACGTCTCGTCCTTTTTCTAAAAAAAATGTCATCGGAAGATACAAAGATCTTTTGATAAATATTCAACATCAACTTCACAAATAATACATGCTGATCTTGAAGTATAGATTTTATGTACTGACGTTATTTATCATCTTAATAACGTTTTATAGTGTTCTTTTTATTTGTCTTTGTATATTTTTAAACTTTACTGTTTAGTCCTTTTTCGGTAATATTCTTTTGGCATGGCTATGTATTGATATATCCCGCCATTGTGCTTTTGTGATCATTACTTTTTTGTATTCTTGTCTTTCATTTTTGCTTATATACTTTGTCTATAGAGTGTTTATATGCCATTTTTATTTTTGTTGAAATAGTTATTTCTTTTTATAGTGATTAAGATTATAGCACAAGGTTGACTGCTGTACCTCAATTTTTGACATTTTTACCTATAATGTCTGTTTGTTTTGCTCACACATTGTTCTCAATATAATAGAGTTTTATGCGGCTATCAAACAAGTGAGGGGTTTAGCTAGCTACAAAATCAGGTTTAATCCACCATTTTCTACCAAAGATACGGTCGATTTTGGAGATATTATCATATTTAGAACAATTATGCACAAAAAATGCATTACATGTTATATATTTATTTTAGTTCATCGTTATGTTTTGGAGTTTAGTATGACGTCCATTTCCAATTAGCTAGTACACATTTTTATTAAGGGGCCAGCTGAAGCTCGCCTTCGGGTGCGGGTATAGTCGCTGTGTTGAAGACCCATTGGTGGCCTTCGACTGTTATCTGCTCTTTGGTCGGGTTGTTGTCTCTTTGACATATTCCCCATTTCCATTCTCAATTTTACGCATTTGTGTGAGCAGAAAGAAAACGCTAAATGATAGAATTTGAATAAAACATAAGCAAATAATCTTTTGACATTATAATCCGACAAACGTAATCTATACATAAAAATTATAATTCACGACTGTATTACCCGATGTTCGATGGGAATATAACTTTCATTCCCATGCGTAAACGTTATTTCCTAATTTAATTCTAACGTATAATGAAGATTATAATGTCACTTATTCGTTTTTATACGTTCGTCTTAGGCGGGTCGTATTAGAGATTTCCAATAAAATGACATACGTACCTAACTCGACGTACGCACGTAACGGGACCGGTTATTGCTAACATATTAATTTTGTTAAATGCGTCACTCAAGTTTCAACTAAGTATTCCTAAACTATTAAACCCATTCATGATAAATTTTATCAATATCAATTATTTCTAAGATGATGAAAAACGAAAGAAATCATGATTTTTATATATCACGTGATAATTAAGATTCCCGCCAAAACTTCACTGTCATAAGACCACGTATATACACGTATCTTTACCTATTATAGTAACGATTGATTTGAGTTGTCTTTCATGGTTTTGACCATGACTTAGCTTTTCGATTAACTTTGCAAATGAACCTTTTATTATTTAATATTTGTCGTTATCAGATTGGTGTCCCTTTTTCCTTTCGTCTTTTAATGGTTTATAATATTTAATTTCCGTAGGTATTTATTATTAGACAGAGATTTTTCTAGCAATTTAAGAAATATCGAATTTAAATTGTTAGTCAGATTTGTCTCTGTTAAAGTTGATAAATCGGATTGCATCATACTTTATTAAGCATCATTTCAAACGTTCTCTTCTTCTGCAGTTAATCTTGCTTATTTACAATCTCCGATTTTTCCCCAGGGAAAACGTACGACAAAGGGATGTGTATATTTTGAACAGATATATCATGTTGTGGAGGGGTATTAGCGAAAAATACCAGTCAAGGGACGGTAAAATTTCCCAAGCCGCTAGGCGAGGGAAATTTGGTCCCAAGACTGGTATTTTTTGCAAAAATGTCCTGTTCCCAAGTATCTCTGATTAAAAGTGGATATGAATGCCAATTTACATACTTGTGACATTTTTAAGACAACTATAATGCCACTTCAGTCTTTACAATGATTTTCTGTTTAAAATGTACTTTTAATTAGTAAGGCTTGATATTGAGGATTTTTTTGGATTAAGACAACTCTTACTAATCCAATTAGAAGTGGATTCTAAAACTATCACATATTGATTGAGTAAAGCAAAAATTTCGAGTTTCAATTTTTGTCTGGCCTTAGAGGTATATATTTATATATAAAAGTTAAACTCTGCGACATATCCATGCATAGGATCACCAGTGAAGGTGATACACGGCTGAAAACACATTTTATATTCATAAGTACTTTAAATATGTATATATTTGTGTGAACCAAGCTCTCTGAAGGAAGGTTTTTCCAGGTTGTTATTATGTCGTGCTGTTGCACCACTGTCCCAGGCTTAGGGGGAGGGAGGGGGGGGTTGAACATTCACAAAAATGTTAAACCCGGCCACATTCTTTATGCGCGGCTGCCTGTCCCATGTCAGGAGCCTATGGTTCACTTGTCGTCGTTGGTTCATATCTGTTATATTTGTTTTTTCGTAAATTGTTTTGTTTTAAATCAGGCCGGTAGTTTTCTCAATTGAGTAGTTTCATATTTTTTAAGTTGGCTCCTTTTACAGTCGACTATACGGTATGGATTTTTCTCATTGATGAAGGCCTTACGGTTGTTCATTTTCGTTTGAACTGTTTTTCAAAG